GCCACTGGCGACAATAACACAGCAGGTGCCAGGTCGGGGGACTCGGGCCCATCGTTACTGGGACTGGGCCGAAGCAGAGAGGGCAAAGGTTTGCCAAATTGCTGGGGCTGGGGCAGGGAGGCCCATATTAAACAGGCTGGATTTAGAGTCTTGCTTTCTGCACCTGGCATCTGAAGGGCTCTCAAGGGTGGCAATGCCAGGGCCCATCCCATACTGTGCTGAGTCAGTGAGGCAGAGAGCACGTGCTTCCAGAGCCACCTGCCGATGATGATGACCTGCAGGGGTAAAGCATGGTGTCCTGCTGCATCCCAGGCCTGCTGATGCAGCAGCCAACTCCCCTTCGGTCCCTAGAAGGGCTCCCTCCAGTGCAGTCCTGCCCCAGAAGGCTCTGTCTCAGCAGCAGTCCTTCTCCGAGGCCCCCACGGTGCTGCACTTTGAGGTGGCTGAGCTGTCTGCTTGCAGGTGGAGGGCGTAGCCTCACCCCAGCTAGGTCAGGGATGTAGGCTCTGTTCACAGCAGGACTGTGGGGCTGGGCTCTGAATGCTGCAGCTCTCTCTAGTGTCAGTGTCAGTGTGTCCTGCTCACCCCAAGTCCGGACCCTCTTCCAACCCCCATGCTGGCAGGGCCTCAGCCCCCTACTGGTGGAATGGCTCAGCTGAGCCCTGGGCTGCGCCTGGGAGCTGGTTTGGGTGACTTTATCCCCTTTGCCTCGTTGTCAGACCCTTGTGAAAGCTGGAAGTGACATTTCTTCCCCTGGTTTGGTTTCCCCACTTGGCAAACAGTCCCCCTCTCCATGCCTGCCTCCCCATGGAGCTGGATTCCTGGGGGGCGCTCAACTGGCACAGCCACAAACCAGATGCCCCCAGTGTTGATGTTCTTAAAACCTGCAAAACACCCCGCCCCCCTACGAAGAATTCCCTCTCTGTGCCCAGAGAAGAGAGAGAAAAACACCTATTTGTGCCTGTGACGAACTGGGACTGTTCTTACTGTGGTCTTTGAATGCTGACAGGGGAGTGTGGCTAGGATGGTCTGCATGGGGGGATGGGAGACTGACCACGGGAAAATACCTGAGCATGTAACGTAAGAACCCAGGAAGGGGTTAGAGGCCAGGTGACACCTTTGCCCGGGAAACTGAAGAAAGGCTGTGGAGGGGTCGCTGAAGGGAGAGTTTCAGGAGCTGGCTGGTGATATGGCTGGGAGGCAGACGGGGCTCTGACCTCCCAAGGGGGCTGTGGGGCCTGTCTTGGACTGTGTTCCTGTCGTCTAAATAAACCTTCTGCTTTACTGGCTGGCTGAGAGTCATGGTGAATCGCAGGAAGCCGGGGGTGCAGGGCCCTGACTCCCCCACACTCCGTGACAGTGCCCGGCCTTTGTGACAGGTGTCACAAAAGCGGTGAACCTCCTGAGACAGCTGGAGTGTGCAGTGCTGAGAATAACCCTCCGTGCAGCTTCAGAGCCAGCAGGGGCACGCATAGCACTTACAGCACTGTTTTCATGTAGGCCCTCTGTAAACCTTGCTCACTGTCGCATTGGTTTTTGTGCTGTCATGACCACGGTAGTGTCATTTTTTATTTAATGTGAATGTAACGAGGTCTGAGTCTCCTTTCCAGTTTTACAGGGTAACAGTAGTTTGACTAAAAAGAACGAGGAGTACTTGTGGCACCCTTAGAGACTAACAAATTTATTTGGGCATAAGCTTTCGTGGGCTAAAACCCACTTCATCGGATGCATGCAGTGGAAAATACAGTAGGAAGATATATATACGCAGAGAACATGAAAAAATGGGTGTTGCCATACACACTATAACGAGACTAATCAATTAAGGTGGGCTATTATGAATGAAGTTATTCTCGATTTACACTGGGAGAATTAGGATTCTTGATGTCACTCCGGATTTACACCAGAGTAGGTCAAAGGTGAATCAGGCCCTTTGAGTGCAGGGACTAGCCCTGCAGCAACTCCCTGTCACGGTGCCTCTCTGGCCACATCGCTGCAGAATTCACATGCTGCACAGGCACTAAGGGATTTGTGCTTACCAGACCCTGTGAAGCAGGGAAGTATCATGCCCATGACGCAACTGGACACTGAGGCTCAGAGAGATTCAGTGACTTGCCCAGTCCAGCACCTTGTCCACCAGAACATCCTTCCCATCATCCAGGCTTGCAAAGTTGGTGCCACCTTGGACTCCCCTCCCCCATTCCTGTCTCAGCCCAAGGCCCTCCCCCAAATCCTGCTCTCACCCCTGTTGCTAAGATGTGAATCCATACTCAGGGAATTTCCCACCTTCACCATCGCTTGTGCCTCCTGATAAGGGCTAAACCAGTGCTCACGCTGCTCTTGGCCTGGGGTGGGAAGAGAGGTTGTGGGGAGGAGGTTTTCAGAGTTGGCGAGTTTCAGGGGGCCAGAGAGTTCAGGGAAAGAGGAACATTTTGTGTGGTTAATAACGGTGTTTAATGCCATTTAATAACATTGGGGGAAAACGTGAGTTACAGTCCACGGATGGGAGGGCGACTGCCACCACTCACACACACTGCTGGATCTCTGGGGGGGTACCCAGTGCATGCGTGTGTGTGTGTGTGCACATGTGCGTGTGCATCCCAGGGTCCACGAGCCAAGGTACAACTGCAGCACCAAGAAATTGCGACTTTTGTGCCAATTCCTACACTGTCCTCCACTCTCCCCCTTTTGCTGCAGGGGCTTCAGTGTAACCCCCATCCCCTGTGTCCTTCATGGGACTTCAGCCAGGGACACTGAAATTACAGCATCACGAGCTGTGTGATCTGCTCCCCTTCACCTCAGAGCCTAAATGCCAACAAGGTTCACACTTAACTACAAATTGCCAGCTGCCTCCAGCAGGCGCCCGTGTCAGTGTTCAGATTCCAGCTTCACTGCAGTCTCACCCACCCCTTGGTTCTGTCATGGCCCACCCAGAGTAGCGGCCACATTCTGCCCAGATGTTGCTGCAAGGGAGTGGTGGGTGAGTGATAGATGTGCTCGGATATGAAGTGCTCTGAGATCTAAGAAGCCTTCAGGACCTGAAGGGTGCCAGGAATCTGCATGGATTTGCTCCTTAAAGGGATGCACAGTGAAGAAAATTACACAGAAGCCTTGGACTTTTGACTCAGATGTTCCAGACACACTGACAGCACTCAAGGGCAGACTCCAGGCCTGGTGTAAGAAGGTGCTGCATCTCAGGGCAAGGTTATGCAGAGGCGTAATTGACAGCATTGATAGTGGGTGGTTGTTACTTTGTATCGGAGTAGTACTTAGAGTCTTCAGCCAAGATGGGGACCCCCTGGCGTCGGGTGCAGCACAGACAGTGAGAGGCAATCCCTGTCCCAAAGAGCACACTCTCACTAGACAAGACCGAGAGTGGAAGCAGGAAGGTCAGAGCCCCCATTTCACAAAGCCATGCCGGGACTGGTCCAGGGCACACAGGGAGTCTGTGGCAGAGCTGGGAATTGAACCCAACTCTCCTGAGCCCAACGTCTGGTGTGAACTGGGGAAAGGGCTGTAAGCAGCAATGCAGAGTAATGTGCCAGAGATGTGCAAAATGACCATAAATCACATGGCAGGAAAACAGAAGGGCACAGCAGGAACAACAGGAAGGGGTGAAATATGGCAGCTCTCACCCAGACCATGCGCTTGGGGCTGTATGAGCTAAGGTCTGCCCAGGGGAGGAGTAGAGACAGTCCAAAAGTCCAGCCTCATCACACATCCAGAGATCGACGAGGCTTCAGCGCCAGCCCATTGGCCCACATGCTGGCCCTTCCCTCAGCTCAGTGATTTGATCTGCTGCACTCTCAGGGCCCAGCCTCCTCCCACGCCCACTGGTGTCCGGTGGGAATGGCAGCACTGATGTCACTGAGTGATTCTGATGTAAAACGGGTGTGAGTGAGATCAGAAGTAGGTCCTTGGCATGTGCATTGCACTCACTTGGCAGGAGGCCAAAGCCAGCATCTGTCATTTTGGGTCAGGGAGACCAAGCATCTGCGTCTGGTTGTCAAGAGACCAAGAACCAGCGAGTAGCATCTCAGCGCAGGGTTCTAGATAGTGCAGTGATGGAGGCCGGCTCAGCACCATAGATGGGGTTCCTGCGTGGCAAGGAGGCAGGGCTGCTGGCTGCTACACTCCTAGCCTTGGGCTTAAAGGGCACACTGGGGTTGTTACCAGGAGCAAGGGGACACGATCTAAGAATCTCTCTCCCAGAACTGGCTCCCTCCAGGATCAGAGAGACACAAACGGAGCCTTTGCTCCCACAGCTGAGAATCTGGGTCTTAACTTCGCTTGGCTATTTTATCATGTGAATGGTTAGCTCCGCACTCCCATTTGTTGTCATTGGTACAGTCCCACCTGGATAAAGGGCAGCCAGCCAGCAGGCCATGCCAGCACTCTGGTGAGTCCATGAGTTTAATACCCAGCACTGGCTGGAGTACAAGAGCGAATTGCCCCTGTCAGCCCGGGGAGCCCTCAGTCACTAGCCCAGTGGCCAGTTTTGTTTCATGGCACGCGAGACATTTTGTTTTTCAATTTCCAGAACAAAATTAATGGAAAAATGGAAACAAACTTTCTGGGTTTTGAAAAGTGTTTTTATAAAGTTCAGGGGTTTGTTGATTCAGCAAAACACAGGAACATTGTGACCCGGATGAAGGTTCGCTTTGGCTGAAAAGGCTTTTTCAAAAGTTTCCTGGTCAACAAACTGTAGAGGGAACAACGGGAGCGGCTCTGGTCACTAGCTCGGGGGGCTTTGCGTCTCCTGCAGGGCACGTGCAGCTCCGGCTGCTTTTAAATTCAGGCCGGAATTTCACCTGCGCAAAGTTTCGGGCGAGGTTCCCACCCCTAGAGCCCAGGAGGCAGAGGGGCGCGGCGTCCTCCCCGTCCCACTGGGCGAGCCAGGGGGCAACCCCACTCCCGACCCCTGGCGCGGAAGGGGAATCCCCGGCCCGTAGATGGGGCTAAGACCGAGGCTCCCGCCCCCGGCCCGCTCAGCCTGTCCCCAGAGCCCGGTTTGCCAATACGGCCGCGCGGGAGGGTTTACACGGGCTTGGTGCGCGCCGCTCCGGGGGCGTGGCGCTCGCCGCCCGGGCTGGAGGCTTTTCAGGTCCTGTGCCAGACGCTGGAGCGTCTCCTGTGCTCGCTCCCAGTTCCCCGCGGAGGGGAGGCGCAGCAGCCCGGCACGGAGCGTGTCTCCAGCCGGAGGCAGGGCTCAGGGAGCAGGATCCCGGCTCCCCACCGGTGCCCGGGAGCCATGGCTTTGCCCAGGGCACCCCCGGGGTCCTGAGCACCCCGACCCCAAAGGCGGGAGCGGTGGGGCTCTCCGTGCGCCAGTCCAGCTGTTCCTGGCACCGCCCTATGGGCTGGGGCAGCCGGCGGGACACCTGGGAGCCGGACCCCGCGCCAGGCTCAGCCGCGGGACATGCAGGTGGGTGACGCACCGGGACGGGACACGGAGCGAGTTCGCTGCTGGCTGCGATTCGTGCTGGGGAGGTGGAGGGCGCAGAAAGCGGAAAGCCTGGGGTGGGGTGGGGGGTTGGCCAGAGCCTCCCCCGGGCCCAGGCTGAACGCCAAGGGTTTCTCTCTGCACACAGGTGGCCTGGGGCAGGCAGGGCAGGTGGCATGTCGGACCTCTCCTCGAGGACTTGCCAACGCCTCCAGGTGGGCTTGGAGACCCCACTGCTGAAGGGCATCTGCTCTACCTGCTCTTGAAGAAGATGCACTTGTTCCGGAGCTACAGCTACCAGATCCAGCTGGAGGGCGAGGCAGGCAGCCTGCCCAGGATACAGGGCATCCGATGGGTAACTACTGAAGCTGCTTCGTGTTGCCTTGCCTAGTGTTTGTGAGAGCTGCAGGCGTGCGTGCCAAGGTGCTAGCAGGGCTCTGCTAGTGGGGAAGGGCGGGGAGGGGATGGTTCCTTGTGACAGGCTCTGGGTGCAGGGAGCTGGCACTGAAGAATGAAGGTTAGTCAGGTTGGAGCAAGACTTTGTTTCATCCCTTGGGCCACTGCTGTAGCAATAACTCACTCCGTAACTGACTAGCAGAGCAAATTGACCTGGACACTGGCAAGTGCTTGGTGCCAGACAGTGGAAAGCAATTCCCAAAGATTCTATGGACAATTGTGGTTTCTGGGGCTTAAGCAGCCAGGATCCTCTGAGATGTGTGTCTGTGATATACTTCTAGGATTCCTAGTCTAGCCTAATTCAATCCAGCACGTAATGGGGCAGAGTTAAATGGGAAAGGTGCAGGAATGCCACCTCTGCACCCACCCTTCCCCCACTCCTCCCCAGAACAGACACCGTTGAGTAGACTGTCTCCACCCATGAATCCTTCCCTGGGGTGCGATTCCGTGTTGTCCTGCAGACTGCCCGCGTGCATTCTAATTGGGTGGTATTTTACATCCACATGGCACTCGCTTTGCATGACTGCACCTGACTTCACCAGGGCCAGGCAAGGGGGAACTGGCCCCAATCCAGAGGGAAGAAGGGAGTTAGTCTCCATGGCCCAGTCAGGGCTTGGCCCCTCTGCTGAGACAGCCAGCGAGGGGGCTGGTTAGGATCAGTTGTTATTAGTGACAACCAGCTGAGACCCGCAAACTCAGCGCACAGAGGGGGCCTCCAAATCTGGAGTCAACAGTAATTTGAGGCAGTTTCCACTGTACTTCTGCTGCATCCTTCATAGTGTGTTGGGGTGTGACGAAGTGGGACTGTTCTCAATGTTTCCTCTGAATACTGTGTGGGTGCCTCAGTTTCCCCTATGTATTTCTTAAGTCTCTAGGTGGTGGGGAAAGGCCAGTGCGCATAAATCACTGACACTCTGTCTCCCTGGCAGCAAATGGCCAGGGCCCCTCCACCCCCCCTCCCCCCTGCAAGGTAATAGCTAAAGGTGAACAAAGAGATCAGGTGACCTCCTGGCCCAGGAAAGAGACAAAGCCGGGAGAAAGAGGGGCCGGAGGGGGTTTTCAGAGTTGGAGCTACCTGGGGACTAGGAGTGAGGGCAGACGTGGGGGTCTGGCTCTCTGAACCCCATAATGGACCCGGCCGAGGGGTCCCGTTCGCCGCTGTACCTACAAGCTCTGTTTTAGCCCGTGTTCCTGTCATCTAATAAACCTCTGTTTTACTGGCTGGCTGAGAGTCACGTCTGACTGCGAAGTGGGGGGTGCAGAACCCTTTGGCTTCCCCAGGACCACGCCGGGGCGGACTCGCTGTGGGAAGCGCACGGAGGGGCATATGCTGAATGCTCCCAGGAGAGACCCAGGAGGTGAAGCCGTGTGAGCTTCTTGCCCTGAAGATGGTCTGCTCCATGGGAGAGGAGGCTCCCCAAAGTCCTGACTGGCTTTGTGGGGAGCAGTTCCAGAGCATCGCCCGGGGACTCCGTGACATGGGGTCTCAGGACTGGGGCCCGAGGGCAGATAGTGTGGGCTGGGGGTGGCACGAGGCTAATGGGAAGCAATCAGGAGGCAACGTGTGCTGGGAGCAAAGGGAATAAAACCTCAGGGAGGGAGCCCGCAGAGTGATGTTCATGTGTGAAAGGTCAACCGTGCACGGGATCCCTCAGCCAGGTTCGGTGCTTTCCCATGTAAACGGCCCCTTCTCAGCAAAGTGTTCCCGCCGAAGCTGCTCTTCGTGTCTATGGGATTCAGGGGGACTCTCGTGCTTGCTATTCCGACTCCGGGGGAGATGTGTGTGTGTGGGGGTCTGTCCAGCACCATTACCAGGTCTGCGATGTGCCAAGCCAGCAGTATGGGGGCGGGATGCACGGGGGTCTCTGAGGGCAGAACTTGGCCTGCAGAACCTTATTTCCTGGTGATGGCGCAGCCAAGGAAGATCCCTGGCGTGACTCTCTGGTCCCAGGATGGGGCTGCAGGGTCGGCAGTCAGAGAAAACAGCCTTCCCTTGTACACCTAAGCAAGGAGTCCTAAGGTGTCACTTTTCAGCACAGAACTGCACTGGCATCTCCAAAGACAGTCCGATCTCCATGAGCGAGTCCCCAAACGGCCTAGGCCCTGGGCTGGGAGGGCAGCCTGGTACTCACTCCCTGCTGCTTCTTTCCTGTAGGGTGATTTGGGGCAGGGCAAGGGACACCTCGGCAGACATGGCCTCAGCTGTTAGCGAAACCATTTCCCAAGCGATTGCCCCAGCTTGTTCTCCAGGTTCAGCTCTCACTGAGGCATGAAATCAGACCTGTGCTATTGTGCTTCAGTGCACAGCGGCTGTACGGAGTGTTTAAACAATCTACTTGACCATGTCTTAGATTAGATTTAAGCCCTGAGCATGTGAACAGGAAACACCTCCACACCAATCTCTGCACCAGCAAATAACCCCCACTCTCTGCCACACAAGATGTTTCATGGGCAGGATTTCCCTTGAGTTTCTGCTTCTTCCCCCTTAAATTAAAACTGCTCTAATTTATGCTGTGTCTCCTATTATCCTCTTTGTGCCCTGGGGAGCAGAGAATAGCTATAGTGCAGTTCACCCCTTCCCCACCCTCCTCATTCCTGGCAGGTCCCTCCATGCCAGGCGCTGGGACCAGGGCTGTACTCTGGCAGGGAGAACCCCTGTGCATGTGGTATTCCTGGTGTACATGAGAACTGGATCCCACATCTCTAAGAGTGAGTCAGCCGGGGCAGTGTGTAGCCACCTGGCGTGTCAGGTGCTATCCTGAGCACGGTGACCATGAGGCATTAGGGATGGCATTTATGGTGGCCTGGACGGCTGTAGATATCAGGGATGCTCAGAACACATGCACTGTTAACTGGCCCGTCTCTCAAGTGAATCCATGTCTGGCTTTCTTTGCTTAAGGTTCCTCTTCCAGTGGTGTGTAAGTAAGAGCTGGGGCCATTTTCCCAACAACAAGTTTTTCATTGAAAAATGGCTATTTTTTCAAATAGAATTCTTTTAAATGGAAAATTGTCCATTTTTGTGATTTTTTTTTTTTTAAAAGTGATTTAAAATATTTTTGTTTCTTGTTTCCTTTTCTTCCTCACCCCCCCCAGATCTTTTAGAAAATACATACAAAATGATGTGTCTAAATTAGCTGTTAACCCTCAAGAAAGAGATCTTGGAGACATTGTGGTTGTTCTCTGACAACATCCACTCAATGTGCAGCGGCAATCAAAAAAGCAAACAGAATGTTAGGAACCATTAGGAAAGGGATAGGTAATAAGACAGTAAATATCATATTGCCTCTGTATAAATTCATGGTACACCCACACCTTGAATACTGGGTGTAGTTCTGGTTGGCCCATCTCAAAAAAGGTATATTAACATGGAAAGGGTACAGAGAAGTACAACAAACATGATTAGGAATATGGAACAGTTTCCCTCTGAGGAGACAGTAAAAAGACGGGGACTGTTCACTTTGGAAAAGAGACGACTAAGGGGGGGGGGGGGATATGATAGAGGTCTATAAGATAATGACTGGTATGGAGAAAGTCAATAAGGAAGTGTTCTTTACCCCTTCACATAACATGAGAACTAGGGGTCACCCAATGAAATTAATAGGCAACAGGTTTAAAACAAACAATAGGAAGTCCTTCTTCACACAACACGCACTGAACCTGGGGAACTCGTTGCCAGGGGAGGTTGTGAAGGAAGTATAAGTGGGTTTAAAAAGAATGAGATAAGTTCATGGGGGATAGGTCCATCAATGGCTATTAGCCCAGATAGTCAGGGCGCAACCCCATGCGCTGGGTGTCCCTAAATCTCTGACTGCTAGAAATTGGGAGTGGACAACAGGGGATTGATCCCTTGATAATTGCCCTGTTCTGTTCATTCCTTCTGAAGCATCTGGCACCGGCCACTGTGGGAACACAGGATACTGGGCAAGATGGACCATGGATCTGCCTCAGTAAGGCTGTTTTTATGTTCTTAAAATCATTCCCCATCCACCCCTGAAAATGCTGGGGGGGGGGGGGCAGAGGGGAAGATGGTGCTTGATAAGTTTATGAAGGGGCTGATCCGGCGGGGTTGCCTGTGATAGCAAGGGACCGGACTTGATGGCGCTGTCCTGTGTTCCTAAAAGAAAATAAGGAAAAAACAAAACAAAAAATGTCAAATTAAAAATGCATCTTGTTTCCCCCAAAAATTGCACATGCAAAGAAATGGAAAATAAAATTCAAACTGGGTTGAATCTGGTGAAATGGATATGACCTGGGAGTTTCCAGTGTCAGTGGGGAATCACTGTAAGGTCCTTGGCCTGCCACTGATCTCAACCCCTTGGGTCTGGGCTCTGCTACACCGGCACATGCAGGGATGTCACCCCAATGGGATGGTGCCAGAATCTTGTTTCCTTAAACCTCCAGCAAGTTGCCCAGCCCAAGCGAAGGGGCGGCTCTGCCCTTAATTTAGGACAAAACTGTGCCTGGCCTTTCCCCACCCCGCACAAGGGCTAAAGCCTACAGCACCCCAGGGCACATACTGCTGCAAATGCGGGGGTGGCAGGGGGAGAAGGCAGCCATGCTGCCTAAGGACCTGGCTGGACCTGGCGTGGGAGCAGGCAGCTTCCCCTGTGTTCTCTGTTGCTCTGGGAGACCCATCCCTTTGGAGCTGCCCTTGCGGCTCTGGGTAAACCCCACAGTCTTGCCCTCTCTCTCAGCCAGCTTTTGCAGCGTTGAGCGTTTGCAGTCAAACATCAGCCTATGTGCTTTTCTGTGCCAGGGCTGCAATGCATGTCATTGTGGGGGGGTGGGAGGGGAAGTCATTTCAGAGCATCCTGTCAGGCTCTGGGGGTCTGAGATTCCCCTTGCCCCCACGTGTATTTTGCCATGGCTTGGAGTCCCTGAACTCCAGGACCGTCTACA